ATGAGAATGATAAATTTTCTATCATTTAAGGAATAAATCATTATTTCCCTTATTTGTGTTTGGTAGGAGGAATGAAAAGTTAAAATAATTGATTTTTTTGTGTTTAGTAAGATGTAAAAGCGGATGTAATTGATTTATATATATAATTAATATGTATATACTATGTAATAGATAAATAACATATATTTTAACACTCATAATTAATTTTCAATCTATTTTTTCTCTCACTTTTGGAGGAATGAATTTTAATAAGTTAAAAGAAAAATTAATTTATCCACTTTCTTATTTTTCTTACTTTTCTTCTTTATCAAACATAATATATTATCAATCATTTCAATTTTTTATCCTTTCAAATTTTTAACTTTCAAAAACATAAGGTTATAAATGACAGATTCCTTGGAAACAACTAATCGACATTGTGTTCAACCCAACCCCAATAAATTCTGGGATAAATTTCATTCACACCCCCCTTTAGATAGGTTTAACTTCAACCATAACTTTTTTTTTTCTGAAATTTTACTACTGTCCCTCCTAGTTTATTTGTCTATTTCATTTAGACCCCTGTCGTAATTGATCGTGACTAACAACTTCAAAAACGTTTTATGTCAGAAATATTTTGATTAAATGCCAAATTTACTTGTGACGACCCGTATATTAATTAATCATTGATACATTAATTAGGTCATTAATTATGATTTTATATAATTGAAATTTATTTTTTTAGGAATAAATAGATCTCAAATATAGACTCTTCACACAAAAATGAGTCAAAATAATTATAATTTAGATCAAATTTTATAATTATATAATAAATAAACATATCTATAAATATATGTATATATGTGTTTGTGTGTTTGTCTGTGAAAGGACAAGCGTCCTATTTCATATTGCAAGATTTGAAACGTGCAAAAACAAAAAAAGAAGTGGTAAACAAATGAACAATTGTCCATGTGAGGTAATTGCAAGACGTCATGGCTGAAGTTGGCAACCAAGGCTTTGCCAGAAATAGCCTACCTTTGGCCTTTCGAGCAGCGCACCAAAGAGAAGAAAAAAATAATAAAGAGAGGAAGAGAGAGGGGAAGTGTGTGATCAAAATTTTTAGGTAAGATTCTCTTAGTTTTTAGTTAGTTCTACAGATATGAGTCACTCAAAATTGATCCTCATTAAATATTTTTAAATCAAATTTAAGTATTATTATTTTTCGTTAGTTATTCTAAAAATTATTTTAACTTAACAAAACTCTTATTACGTATTATTATTCTAAAATATTATTTTAGTTGTTTTGTCACAGTACACGGTATTGAGTTGCAGATATGTTAGAGGTAGAATTTCTTTTATCTTTTACTATCATTGATGCATTTCATGCATGTTCAGGGGTTTCATATCCGATCTATGTTTAATTATATAATATAATATTATATCGTTTTAATCATATGGTTAAATTGAGGTTTTATAAATAAATCGTGATCATGCACATATTATATTTTTGTTATTTATATCGAGACCATAATTATCTTGTGAAACCATGTTACATAATAATTGTTTTTTTATTATTATTTAATGTTTGATTTCTTTACTTGTGGGTCTGATTACTATATGACTTTATTTTATAAATTTGAGAAAATTACTATAGATGCACATAATTGAGGGCAGAGAGGTTAGTAGATACATGGTCCTTGCAAAGATTCCTACTAGTTCTTGGATTTACTGGTTAGTAATATCAGTTTTCGTGGTAGCCTATGTGGCACCACATAATTTCCGGTATTGGGTTCCCTAGGGTGCGAGACCCCAAAGTTTTTCTCTGAATACGGTTTATGCGTGGACCAGAAAATTGACGGATTGATATGATCAATATATGCTAAAATTTATTTATTTAATTCATTACTTTGCCCTATTCTTGCTTTGATAGTCATTGATAAACATTATTTTACTGGACTGTTGAACTCATCATTGTCTAACATTTTTTAGAAATATAAAGTCAGGCAGAAGGACAAGAGAGAACATTGATAGTCGTAATCGTACGTTGAATATAATAATACAAGAAAAGTTATTATAATTTATGTGTAGTTTTATTTCTTAATCATGTCCGAATACTTTTTTTAAAAGAAAAAAAAAATTGAGAGCGTGACATTACCCTACATCTCATGGAGATGGAAAAGGATGTGTGAGAAGAGAGAAGTTCTCTGTGATAATCTTTGAGATGGCTACGAGGCTTCGTAGTTCTGTTTGACTGTCTAGAATTACTAGAAGTAGAGATAGGGATTGCAGGAGGAACAACAGATGAAGGATCTGAGACACTAATAAAATCTGGGACTAAGATAGAGGTAGCTGCTACTGCTAGGACAGAAGGAGTATGATCTAATACTAATGATCCTCCCCGTAGACTTTCAAGTTCTCATCCAAACAAAATTAAAACTTTATTAAATTAGATTTTACGGTCAAATTTATGTCCTATTTAATATTTTTAAAATACAATAATATCTTAATTAATATTATAATACAAACAATAATATTATAATCTAACACAATCTCTTTAAGTAAAAAAATAATAAATTCATAATATAATTAAATGAGCAAATACTCAAGAACGATTATCTTACAATGAAATTTTATTATAAATAAAAGAGAAAATGTCTATACAAGTCGAAGAAATATCTAAAAAAAAACAAATTGGGTATTCAAAAAGGGTTAAAATAGATCGATAATTAAGTTCAACGATAATTAAAATAAAATTAATTATTTGACACATACTTTATTATTTAGTTGAATTATAAATATAATTTTATTATTTATAAAAATATTATTATTTAAATAGATTCATGTACAATGTACGTCGTGTATTTCTAATATATATATACGTTAACGGTAATGTCTATTTTACGAATTTATTTCTAATTATTCTACAAATTTACATTTTAGTTATTCATAAAAGTATGTAAATTCATAAAATAGATATTCTTGTTACTTCTGTTACAATATAAGCACTGATAGTGGGCGTTAGTAAAAGTTTGGAAAAATTAAGGGCTGTCGTTGAAATTAAGTCTATAGGGATGNGGTCATTAGCCTAGGCTATTCATCATGATCTCGTCTTACACAATTAGTGTCAGAAAGTACNGGGCGTTAGTAAAAGTTTGGAAAAATTAAGGGCTGTCGTTGAAATTAAGTCTATAGGGATGTGGATGAAATGTATCCTAAATTCTAAGTAAAGATAAGACTCCCGAAAATTTCAATTAGCACGTGGAGTTTGACTATGCATCTATGACCATGAGCTGCGCAGTCATGTAGGCATCTGCAGGACCATTTGATTTCTTTTTTATTTTGGTCATGGACCATTTGATTTCTGGTACCTCAAAAAATAATTGGGTGAGTTATTCACTTACTGTCATCCCATATATATTTATTTTTGCCTAATTAAAATTTTTATAATTAAATTATTAAATCAATCTCTTTTATACCTAATCTATTTTCATTAAGTCCACTTTATGCTATACACATATTTTAATAACAAGTCAACTTTCTAACTTTTTTAAATTGAAGATTTTGTTCACTATTTTTTCTTATACACCCTACACAAAAGAGCTTTTTCAGTATAAATTTCTTTAGTGAGATACATGTTAGTGTTAATTTTCGGTTCAATTTTTTTTGATTTTATGTGTGTTGTATTTTTTTTTTTTTTTAATTTTGGTATTCTGTCAAATTTAATTATTTTTGATTTAGAGTTTATATATGTGTGTGTGTATTTATATATGTATGTATTCATACAAGTTTACAACTAGAAGGAAAAACGAAGCGTTGTAAATACGTTGATTATTTATAATTGTATATATAAATTATTCTCGTAAATATATTTAACATATTTTTTTGATCCAATTTGTACCAATTCAAATAAAAGTTAAATTTATTGCCCAAACTATAACAACACAAGATGCTCCTCCTCATGTTAATTAATAGAGGTTATTTTGACAGAAACTACAAAAAACTTGGATAATATACAGATACAAAGAGTGATGCACTCATCTTACTCATCAATCTATTTTAAAAAGAAGTTCTTTTGTGTAGAATGTATGAGAGAAGATAGTGAATGAAATCTTAGTTTTAAGAAGATAGAACGTAAACTTGTTATTAAAAAGATGTATATATTATGAGNCTCATCAATCTATTTTAAAAAGAAGTTCTTTTGTGTAGAATGTATGAGAGAAGATACTGAATGAAATCTTAGTTTTAAGAAGATAGAACGTAAACTTGTTATTAAAAAGATGTATATATTATGGGATGAATTTAATTAAAATGAAGTGGGTATAGAAGAGATGCAGACTTAGTTGTTTGAAAATAAAAATTTTAATGAGGTGAGAATAGATATTTGTGGGTTGAGAATAATTCCACCCAAAATAATTTCAATACTATATTTCTAAATTTTATTTCATTAATGAATATTTTTATAATTTTTATGGATTATTTTACAATAAAAAATTTTCAATTTTTTGTGAGTATTTTTACTNTATTTTTATAATTTTTATGGATTATTTTACAATAAAAAATTTTCAATTTTTTGTGAATAATTTATATTTTTTGTGAGTATTTTTAATATTTTTATGGTACAATCTTAATATTTTAGGATCATACCATAAAAATAATAAAAACAGTTACTACAAAATTCATCACAATATCCATAAAATTGATAAAAATATTAATAAAAATAATAAATAACGGTTGGATACCAGATGTTTTTTTGGGAGGCAGACTTGTACTTTGATTTAACTTCAGAGTTTCTATTCCGCACGCCATATATTCTCTTCTACTTCGTCACTTATCTCTCTCTGTATTCCCACATTTTCCTCGTTTCTCAACCATTCTAAATCGTTTGATCAAAAAAAAATCATTTAAAACAAGACACAACAAGCAATTTGTCCAGTTTTAGCTTGCTATAAACACATACCACCAGAATCTCTCTTTGCTGATCTCTACAATCAACACCTCATAGCTCAGCTGCACAGAAAAACATGAGTTTCTCCAAATGGGTATTGTTGATTTTTACTCTTTCCTTGTTTGCTCCAGTACCCATTTTCTCAGATTCTTCATTGACCTCAAAAGGGCTTTCAGAAATCCCCTCATACTTCCTCAATTTTGCGAAGAAACCTGAGGTCTTTGATTGGATGGTGAGGATTAGGAGAAAGATACACGCGAATCCAGAACTGGGTTATGAGGAATTTGAGACCAGTAAGCTTATCAGAGCTGAATTGGATAAGATGGGTATTCCCTACAAATATCCAGTTGCAGGTACTGGTGTTGTTGGCTTCATAGGTTCAGGGAAACCTCCTTTTGTCGCCTTACGGGCGGACATGGATGCCCTTTCCATGCAGGTCTGTTAGAAGTTTGAGAATTTCTCTTGTTAAATTCAAGAATTTCTTAGATTTGTGGCTTTTGCTGTAATTTGCTTAGTGAGAGAACATTTGTGTGTGTGTGTGTGTGTACTATAGTGGGAGGGATGGGAATTCTAGTACATTTATGGGGTTGTCTTTTATGTAGGAAATGATAGAGTGGGAGCACAAGAGTAAAAATCCTGGAAAGATGCATGCTTGTGGGCATGATGCCCATGTCGCAATGCTTCTTGGCGCTGCAAAGATTCTTCAAGAGCATCACGAAGCTCTAATGGTTTGTTTCTGGATGTCTATCATTCCATTGTTGTATGTGTTCTACTCTTGTTCATAATTGCCTTACTATTATTGTGAATAATTCTTGGGATATTGTATATTGACCAATTTCGAAGAGGGTTTAACAAGTCTTTCTCAGTGGAAGTAAACAGAGTGTGCACTTGGTCTCTTGGCTGACGCTTGTCTTTCTCTTTTGAGCCGGATGGGTAACCATTCCTTCTGACCTCCCCCTTTGCGCCCCTAAACAGATAAGCAGGTTTAAGAATGCGACTGTAGCTTATAGGAGAAATTAGGACTGCCTTCTTGAAGGCAATTATGGAGGGAAGGTAGCAGGCTGAAGCTCATTGCCATCAACGAATTCACTCTTTTGGAAACAAGGGAAAGGGAACCAAGAAAGAAATCCTGGGGAGACTTCCTTGAAAGCCTGGTGTTTTAATTCGAGTGGGAATTAATGGGCACAAAGCAACAAAAGTCTTCCCAAATTGGATACCAAGAGTGATTCAGAATGACGCATGAATGTGTGAAATCTTCCTGTAAAATTCTTTTATTCATTTGTTAAAGAAGAGCATTGGGATGATCTGATTGCAGATGGCCTTAGTGGTGTTGTCAATGTGATTTGTTGGAATCTTAGGTCCTTTAGAGTAGTGAAGACTTGGAACTGGAAGCTGTGGACTTCATTTATCTACTTGTGGTGCGGTGGAGGTCATAGGGGATGCCATGTGGTGAAGGAATTTTATGAGTAGTAGGATTGATATTTAGTTTCTATAGAATTGTGATTGGTGTGGAAGGGATTATATTTTTCATGGAAAGGCTTTTGAGAACACCAGCTACAGTGTTACACACAATGTAGCTGTTTTAGCATGAATTCCACTGGGCAACACTTTGGGATTAATTAAATTAGGGTTGCTGTGTCTGCAAGCAAGATTAGAGACTCTGGATGGTATTTTGTTGCCCAATAGTGTTACTGGTTAACTCTTTCTTCTCTTTAATTTGGATCTGTTGGGTGATGCCAGAAAAAATATGGGGCCAATACCTGGTTGTGAGGCAAGACAAATGCCGGGCTTGGGATGCAGCTCCTCTTTGCTTGGGTGGAGTGCTTGGAAGGCGAGGAAAAGTTGAATGCTTGAAAAAAGTGGAGAATTCTTAGTTGAAAGCTCAAGAAGGGATATTTCAGTTTGTTAATCAGTTAACTAAGATGGTCAGCTGCTCATTCTACTATATTACAGATTTGTTTTTCCCTTTTTGTTGGGTAACACTGGGAGGTATTGTGATAGCATTTTTCCTAGTGGATTCTTTAGATGGTCTACGTTGTTGTCGATGCTTCTTTTCAGGTTGTGGTAGTCTTTTTCACTTTCTTTCTAAGCATACTTGGTTTGTACTTGTGAACTAGGTGCTTCAGTATTTTAACAATATATTATGTATCTACATATATAATACTGTAAAGCTGGACTTTATAGGGTCACTGGTTGTTTTGGCTATTTACCAATAAACCTAGTAAATTCCGTTATTCTAATTTTCTCTCCCTCCTCTCTAGGTTTTACCACCAAATCTTCACCAAGTCTATTGTTGTTATTTGTTTTCTATTCCATCTCAATGTCAGCAAACAGCAAAGAAAAAAAAAACTTCTATGCTTCACAGAAATGGAGTCCATCAACTAAAAACATGTTTAATATCGGTTTCATGTGGCTTTAGGAAACAAATATAATGTCATGAATATCACTGGTTTTGGGAGGGACTTTGAAGTTTGAATTCTTTGGAAATGAATTTGAGAACTTTGGTGAATGAAGGTGCTTCTAATGCTAAATACTTTGTGTTGAAGAATTAGATTGATGACAATATTCAGTGGATAACAGATCTTTTTGTCTTTTTGCTGGATTCTCGTAAGAATAATATTGATGACTGCAATGGAGGTGGTCACGTAGAATCATGCCAGGAATCAGGATTTGGCCGCTGCCCAGGGAGTGGGGTGAGGCCTGTTGGGGAAGGAGGACGTAGTGGAGAGAAATATTGGTTGTAGAGGAGGAAATTCTTCATCAGTGGATGTGATATGCACATTTTCCTCTGTATCCTAAATTAGCATAAAATTTTAGAATCCCTTGTCATGTTACATGAAAGTTACCAAGAGACTTGCATATTTTGAAAAATGATTGCAGAAATAAATAAATNACTTTGGGATTAATTAAATTAGGGTTGCTGTGTCTGCAAGCAAGATTAGAGACTCTGGATGGTATTTTGTTGCCCAATAGTGTTACTGGTTAACTCTTTCTTCTCTTTAATTTGGATCTGTTGGGTGATGCCAGAAAAAATATGGGGCCAATACCTGGTTGTGAGGCAAGACAAATGCCGGGCTTGGGATGCAGCTCCTCTTTGCTTGGGTGGAGTGCTTGGAAGGCGAGGAAAAGTTGAATGCTTGAAAAAAGTGGAGAATTCTTAGTTGAAAGCTCAAGAAGGGATATTTCAGTTTGTTAATCAGTTAACTAAGATGGTCAGCTGCTCATTCTACTATATGACAGATTTGTTTTTCCCTTTTTGTTGGGTAACAGTGGGAGGTATTGTGATAGCATTTTTCCTAGTGGATTCTTTAGATGGTCTACGTTGTTGTCGATGCTTCTTTTCAGGTTGTGGTAGTCTTTTTCACTTTCTTTCTAAGCATACTTGGTTTGTACTTGTGAACTAGGTGCTTCAGTATTTTAACAATATATTATGTATCTACATATATAATACTGTAAAGCTGGACTTTATAGGGTCACTGGTTGTTTTGGCTATTTACCAATAAACCTAGTAAATTCCGTTATTCTAATTTTCTCTTCCTCCTCTCTAGGTTTTACCACCAAATCTTCACCAAGTCTATTGTTGTTATTCGTTTTCTATTCCATCTCAATGTCAGCAAACAGCAAAGAAAAAAAAAACTTCTATGCTTCACAGAAATGGAGTCCATCAACTAAAAACATGTTTAATATCGGTTTCATGTGGCTTTAGGAAACAAATATAATGTCATGAATATCACTGGTTTTGGGAGGGACTTTGAAGTTTGAATTCTTTGGAAATGAATTTGAGAACTTTGGTGAATGAAGGTGCTTCTAATGCTAAATACTTTGTGTTGAAGAATTAGATTGATGACAATATTCAGTGGATAACAGATCTTTTTGTCTTTTTGCTGGATTCTCGTAAGAATAATATTGATGACTGCAATGGAGGTGGTCACGTAGAATCATGCCAGGAATCAGGATTTGGCCGCTGCCCAGGGAGGGGGGTGAGGCCTGTTGGGGAAGGAGGACGTAGTGGAGAGAAATATTGGTTGTAGAGGAGGAAATTCTTCATCAGTGGATGTGATATGCACATTTTCCTCTGTATCCTAAATTAGCATAAAATTTTAGAATCCCTTGTCATGTTACATGAAAGTTACCAAGAGACTTGCATATTTTGAAAAATGATTGCAGAAATAAATAAATTATCTGTGGGAAAAACTATTAAATTAACTGTGGAAAATGATTGCAGCAATTCTTGTTCTCTAAACCTGGTTTGTATGCTCTCTTTTGAGCTAGCCGTAAATCTCGGTTGCTACCCTGACACTTTTACACCCTTTACCTCATGTTTGCTCAATGGAATAGAATCTAACGCAGCCTCCTGAGCTTAACTTATTTGTTACAATAAACTGTATAAAAGATCATTTTAATGATAGTAATGTCCTGATTTAGTTGTTTTCATAAAAATAATTAAAATTGCCTCAAAATTTTGCTGTGATGCAGGGAACAGTTGTTATTGTTTTCCAACCTGCAGAGGAAGGAGGTGGAGGTGCAAAGAAAATCATAGATGCTGGAATACTAGAAAATGTCAAAGCCATCTTTGGTCTCCATGTTAATCCTGACCTAAATTTAGGTGAAGTGGCCTCCAGATCTGGTCCTATTTTGGCTGGAAGTGGCTTTTTTGAAGCTGTAATAAGTGGAAAGGGGGGCCATGCAGCCATTCCTCAGCACTCAATTGACCCAGTATTAGCAGCATCTAATGTGGTTGTCAGCTTACAGCATCTTGTTTCCCGAGAGGCCGATCCTCTTGACTCTCAGGTACTCCTAACATTAGGAAAGAACATTGCTGAGCCTTTTGACCTCCCATAAGTCAACTTTTCTTGTGAGCATGAAATCCTCACATGGGATTTCTACTTCCTTTCAATTTGGTTCCCTTCTTTTTATTTCCATGCTACCTGGTAATTTCCCCTCCTGATCAGAACTCAGACAAGCGTGCTGCTGTCATTTGATTGAGGTGGTTTGGAGAAGATGATGTTGTTGGGATTGGTGAATTGACTGACATATAGCTGCACCTTTTGGTGGTGCTAAACTAAAAAACTTGGGTTCTAATGCACCTTTTTAGGGAAAAAAACTAGTTGGTGATAACTTAATTGTTNCCTAGTGGATTCTTTAGATGGTCTACGTTGTTGTCGATGCTTCTTTTCAGGTTGTGGTAGTCTTTTTCACTTTCTTTCTAAGCATACTTGGTTTGTACTTGTGAACTAGGTGCTTCAGTATTTTAACAATATATTATGTATCTACATATATAATACTGTAAAGCTGGACTTTATAGGGTCACTGGTTGTTTTGGCTATTTACCAATAAACCTAGTAAATTCCGTTATTCTAATTTTCTCTTCCTCCTCTCTAGGTTTTACCACCAAATCTTCACCAAGTCTATTGTTGTTATTCGTTTTCTATTCCATCTCAATGTCAGCAAACAGCAAAGAAAAATAAAACTTCTATGCTTCACAGAAATGGAGTCCATCAACTAAAAACATGTTTAATATCGGTTTCATGTGGCTTTAGGAAACAAATATAATGTCATGAATATCACTGGTTTTGGGAGGGACTTTGAAGTTTGAATTCTTTGGAAATGAATTTGAGAACTTTGGTGAATGAAGGTGCTTCTAATGCTAAATACTTTGTGTTGAAGAATTAGATTGATGACAATATTCAGTGGATAACAGATCTTTTTGTCTTTTTGCTGGATTCTCGTAAGAATAATATTGATGACTGCAATGGAGGTGGTCACGTAGAATCATGCCAGGAATCAGGATTTGGCCGCTGCCCAGGGAGGGGGGTGAGGCCTGTTGGGGAAGGAGGACGTAGTGGAGAGAAATATTGGTTGTAGAGGAGGAAATTCTTCATCAGTGGATGTGATATGCACATTTTCCTCTGTATCCTAAATTAGCATAAAATTTTAGAATCCCTTGTCATGTTACATGAAAGTTACCAAGAGACTTGCATATTTTGAAAAATGATTGCAGAAATAAATAAATTATCTGTGGGAAAAACTATTAAATTAACTGTGGAAAATGATTGCAGCAATTCTTGTTCTCTAAACCTGGTTTGTATGCTCTCTTTTGAGCTAGCCGTAAATCTCGGTTGCTACCCTGACACTTTTACACCCTTTACCTCATGTTTGCTCAATGGAATAGAATCTAACGCAGCCTCCTGAGCTTAACTTATTTGTTACAATAAACTGTATAAAAGATCATTTTAATGATAGTAATGTCCTGATTTAGTTGTTTTCATAAAAATAATTAAAATTGCCTCAAAATTTTGCTGTGATGCAGGGAACAGTTGTTATTGTTTTCCAACCTGCAGAGGAAGGAGGTGGAGGTGCAAAGAAAATCATAGATGCTGGAATACTAGAAAATGTCAAAGCCATCTTTGGTCTCCATGTTAATCCTGACCTAAATTTAGGTGAAGTGGCCTCCAGATCTGGTCCTATTTTGGCTGGAAGTGGCTTTTTTGAAGCTGTAATAAGTGGAAAGGGGGGCCATGCAGCCATTCCTCAGCACTCAATTGACCCAGTATTAGCAGCATCTAATGTGGTTGTCAGCTTACAGCATCTTGTTTCCCGAGAGGCCGATCCTCTTGACTCTCAGGTACTCCTAACATTAGGAAAGAACATTGCTGAGCCTTTTGACCTCCCATAAGTCAACTTTTCTTGTGAGCATCAAATCCTCACATGGGATTTCTACTTCCTTTCAATTTGGTTCCCTTCTTTTTATTTCCATGCTACCTGGTAATTTCCCCTCCTGATCAGAACTCAGACAAGCGTGCTGCTGTCATTTGATTGAGGTGGTTTGGAGAAGATGATGTTGTTGGGATTGGTGAATTGACTGACATATAGCTGCACCTTTTGGACATTACTATAATGAAGTGGGTTCTAATGCACCTTTTAAGGGAAAAAAACTAGTTGGTGATAACTTAATTGCTGGCCTCCAAGGCGACTCCTTCATCATCATTAAATATCATACGTCTTAAAGAGTTTTCTTCATGTTTGTAACATGTTCCTAATTTTTTCTTTTCTTTTTTTTCAATCAGAAAATGAAGGATGTTTAGGCCTTAGGTGTCCTTCTCTGTTATTATGTTTGATGAAAAGTTTTAACTTTTTCTATTAATTAATATTTGTCTAGTTTTGTCAGCAATTATATTGTTCGGTTTTAACATAGTATGCACAATTGCAGGTAGTTACAGTTGCTAAGTTCCAAGGAGGTGGTGCATTCAATGTTATTCCAGATTCTGTTACCATTGGAGGCACCTTTCGAGCCTTCTCAACGGAAAGCTTTGTGCAACTCAGGCAGCGGATTGAGGAGGTACATTCTAGTATACCAGTTGCCGTGTTTAAACACTTAGAACTTTTGACAGTTTTAAATTATCAAAATCCATTAAGCATAAGTATGTACTAGAGATAACCCGTGCCTAGTGTAACTAAAAAAAATCGAACATTGAATTTGAACGCGAAATAATCAAGCATTGAATAAGCACAACTCGTAAGTAAAGAGGTAGGTAACCTCAATGGTACCAATGGAACAACAATCAATCAATTTGAGCACAAAATCATAATTTCCACTTAAGCATAAATTGCCTATTCAAAGAAAAAAAATCCTATAATCCTAATTTCAATCTCAATTAAAGCATATAATTCTCATAGCTCCAATTACTCTCAATCTCTATTGAAACACATAATTCCCAGCTACTCCCAAAAAAGTTCTAATTACTCTCAAATACTAATTCCAATAATCCCATAATCCTAATTCCAATAGTTAGTTCCAATTAAATACTAATTTCAATAATCCCCAAAACTAACGTATGCACATATCATAATAGATTTGGCACAATGCGTAACAACGTGATGTCAACTGTTTAAGTGGTACATCCTACAAATGTTTGCACCTCTCATGAAAGGACCAACTCCACTTTGTCAATGCTGCATGAAACAATACCTCAAATCACTCGGCATACATAATTTTAACTACTACTACACAGATTCACTTGTGTCCAAAAAACACTTCAAGTGTTCTTGTAAAGCACACATAAATTGTTTCAATCAACTGATCAAAAGTTATGCCCCCTAAGAATTAATTATTGGCATTCTTCCTACAAAAGCAGATCTATATGAAGAGGAAAATGCATATGTCATTGTGTGAATTTAGTGTCTCCTTCCTCTTATACTATGAATTCAAGTTTCAGCTACACTAAGCTCAGGTTATTCATGCAGTTTCTTTCAGTTTGATTTTCTCAACTTATCAGTAATATAATAACCATGCCCCATTTGTTATATACTACCANGATCTATATGAAGAGGAAAATGCATATGTCATTGTGTGAATTTAGTGTCTCCTTCCTCTTATACTATGAATTCAAGTTTCAGCTACACTAAGCTCAGGTTATTCATGCAGTTTCTTTCAGTTTGATTTTCTCAACTTATCAGTAATATAATAACCATGCCCCATTTGTTTTATACTATTACATTCTTTACCAGCCACTACTTGAATGTTCCCAAAATTAAAATCAAGCAAATACATGAGTAAATACCTTCAGAATTCTTGTGAAACACCAATGGGGTGAGATCCTCTTGCTTGAGCACAGCACCTGTAACAGGATGCTTCCCATACTTCCTGATGTATGGAATTATATTCCTGCACCTGAATTTTAAAACAAATCCAATATCACTCGGTAATTTTATCCCCCCCANAAATCAAGCAAATACATGAGTAAATACCTTCAGAATTCTTGTGAAACACCAATGGGATGAGATCCTCTTGCTTGAGCACAGCACCTGTAACGGGATGCTTCCCATACTTCCTGATGTATGGAATTATATTCCTGCACCTGAATTTTAAAATAAATCCAATATCACTCGGTAATTTTATCCCCCCAAAAAAAAAAAAATTACAATTGAAATCTGCTTAGAATGCAAATTGCAATTAAGTAATGAGACTTGGCGAGAGGATTGCACTTGAGTATTGAGATCACATGATAACTTTTCATGAACAGCACTTGCATAATTGATCTTTCATGAATTCAGATTCCATTACTCCCTTAAGAATGATGTACGGCATAGATCAAAGCTAAACAAAACTTATAAAGAAAAACAAACAAACGAATGTCCCTTAAGAATGATGCACAACACAGATCAAAGCTCTCAATCTCCATTGGAGTAGCATTAGGTAGCAAATTGGGCCTCAATCACAGGCTGTCTCCATCTGTTATATCAGATCAGAAATTGAACAACATAATAATCAAAATAAATATTAAAATCCACATCCAAAATGCCATTCCAGTATTCCAAATTTAATACATAAGAAAAAAAATGAAAAAAATACAAAATACCCTCTATACACCCATAAAGAAGTGAAATAAAATTCAGTTGAGTCAAAACAGAAAAAGAGGAGGGGAAGGGATGGTGTTTGCGCAGAAGAGGGGAAACTCTACACTATCACACAAATAGTTAAGAACCAAAATAAATAATTAAAGAAGAAGAAAAAGAATAGAAAACTTAGAGCTATGAAACAAATTTAATATGTAAATTCAGGTAATAATTCTATCAAACCGTAACCACCTAAGTATCAATAATCAACAAAAATCCAGAACAAAAAGGGGGAAACTAAAAAAAAAAATAACAAAATATAGATGCTTTCTTTGAAGTAAAAAAATACCCGAAACCCACTCAATGCTCAAATAAATGGCCTCCAACAAAAAAATTGACAGTTTAGTTCCTGTTCAATATATAGGAAAAGCAACATGAAAGAAACTCAATTGAATACTTTATGACTAACCGTTAGCTATGGAACATCAATGATCCCTTATGGTTGCAATTCCATAAACAATCAAATCAGCACTAAAGATCAAAATGGAACTTTAAACCGAAACAACATAATTAGTAATTCGAAATTAAATTTCTATCAGAACAATAATTAACAAACAACCTTAATCCAAATCAAACCACTCTATAAACAATGACTTTAAAATAAAATCACATACCCTATAAAAAAACTAAATAATGATCATTATCAAAATCAAGATCTTTTGGGGAATTTTGTCGAACAGTTTATAGGCCATCGTTTTGAGAGTGAGAGAGAGATAGGGAGAGGGAGATTGTGGATGGGGTGGGGTGATTGAGTTTGTGTGTTGTGCGTGGGTGTGATAGATGAGGTTTGGGTGTGAGAAGAGAGAACGGGAAAAAGAGATACTTGGAGAGCCTGGGGCTGGGCGCTGTTGGGGCTAGGCACTGATGCTCGCGCGAGAGAGAGAGAGGAGGTGGTGATTGAGGGGAGGGAGAAACAGAAAGAGGGGAGGGGAGGGGGGATTGGGG